GTGAGGTACAAATATTGTTTCATTTTTCTGCAAATGGATCTCCAGTTTTGCCAGCACCATTTATTAAACAAACATTCTCTTCCCCATTTAATGGAGATCTGTACATTCTTAAAGTGGGAATAGTAATACCTACCCTGCAGGGTTGTTATGAGATTAAATTATAGCATAAAAAAATTGTTACCATATTTCCTGACATACAGTAAGTCCTCAACAAATATTACCTCTTTTTATTATCCCTAGAGGGTCTGGATACCTTTTTACAATGGGAAAGGTGACTGAAATCCAATCTAATTTTGCTCTTCTGCTTACGATGAAAGATTGATTTAAGAGAGGCTACTTAGCTTGGTGTCAGATTCTAGGTTGACAGTTAACTTTCCCCTGACTCTGTAGATATTTCATTGTGTTCTGGTGTCTCTCTCGTGGCTGATGAGACCTGTGGTGTTAGTGTCATTCTTCTTTCATAGATAACTTGTCTTTTCTTTCTGTTTGTTTTTCCTCTTTGTCTTTGAAGTCTAGCAGTGTCATTATGACATCTTTATTTGTGGATGTGTTTCCTTAGTCTACCATTGCACTTCCTCAGTCTATCTTCCATTTCACTAATTCTGTCCTCAACTTGTCTATCTTGTATTTTAACCCATTCCTTTTTTTTTTAATTAGTTTTTATTTTATCACAGTTTTTATATATGCACATAGTTTAAAGAAAACAGTTGTTGTTGTTAGTTGCAATTGAGTTGGCACTGATTCATTGTGACCTTATGTATCACAGAGCAAAAAATTGCCTGGTCATGCACCGTCTTCATGATCAATTCACTTAATCCTCCAGCACTATCTTGGACAATGTTCTTTCATGCTCCATAAGGTGTTCATTGACTGATTGTCAGAAGTAGATCACTGGGCCTGTCTTCCTAGTCTGGTTTAGTCTGGAAGCTTCACTGAAATCTATCATTATGGGTGTCGATGGCAATGAGTTTTTTTAAATAGTTAGTTGAGATTCATACTTACAGAGGTTGGGCTTTTGATTTCATGTGGCTAATCATTTTTTTCCATCCAACATTCTGGACAGAAGCCTAGTTTCATTGCTAGTTCCTTAGCCTGATAGAGTTTTGTCTGATCCCCTTTTATATAGGCTCTAGACCACATCTCCTTCCCTACGAAGAACTGAAAACATGGAAAAAAGTGTTTCCTTGATGAGCAAACATGTGACTAGTTAAAATGTTTAGTTGATTTTAGATCTAATTTGCACAACCATTAAGTTTCCCTGATAGTTTATAAAAGATATTAGTTGTCTATGTTTATTGTAATGTAAAATAGTTTATGATTTTCAGTTCTTTAATGAAATTAGCATATAAAATATCATTTGAATGTCACCCTTTCAGGAAGTACTATTTACTGTTCTGGATGCAACAGATGGACTCTTAAGTGGAATTAGAAATATGCTGGCAAATATATTTTTACCAGCTATTCTTGCAACAAATAACTGGGGTGCTTTAAACCAGTCCAAACAAGGAGAATCTGACAAGCGCACTTTCACTGAAACTATCAGCAGATACCTTTCATTTTTAGATGGTAAGTTTTTAATGTTCAGTAAATTATTAGAAATTTTTTCATTGACTAGAAGATATACTATCAAAACTAAGCATTAGAAAAAAAGAAGGTGCTGATCAATGTAATTATGAGACCGAGAGGTAAGTTATCAAGTCATTAGAATCTCTCATTCCCAGAGGTTTTTGCAGAAGTAAAATACGTTTTATTTCTTATTTTCCATTATAGCAGGAGGATTCTCCTCCTATATTAGTGATGAAAAAAATCATAATATTTAAAAATATATAATTTATTATTATCTACCTTAAAAACATATAATTTCATTATTTGATATTAAAATATAAAATTTTCTTAATAATCATCAAGTAACCATCTGATAACCAGTTGGAATTGCATTATACTTCTATAAAGCATTGAAAAAAAAAAAACCTCATTGCTGTCAAATTAATTCCAACTCATAGCGACCCCTACTTGGGCTTCTGAGGCAGTATGTTCATGGAAGTAGATTGCCCAGTCTTCCTTCTGAGGAGTGGAAACCCACCAGGGTTTGAACTGCCAGCCTTCTGGTTAGCAGCAGTCAAATGTCTTAGGCACTACACCACTAGAGCTCATCTTTAAAATTACAGTAATTGCAGTTTAAAACCCCACATTGACATTTAGCACACGGACATTAAATAAACATCTCTTTATTAACATTATTATTATTTTCCTTTTTAGGTGCGAGAATAAGTATTGAGGGAACAGTTAAATTGAAGACGATAAGCAATGTTGATTTTACCAAACTTCAGACCTTTGAAGAAGTGACAGCTGCAGCTGCCAATTCAGAAACTGTTCATCAGCTGGAGGATGTGCTGATGATATGGTACAAACAGATTGAACAGGTGAGCTGATCATCCGATATGAGTCACTGTTCTTGTTGGTGTCTTAGCCATTGAATTTTGTCCCTATAAATAAAGAGAAGAGCCTTCTCTGAGTTTCTTCCAGATTCTGTTATGAAACATAGTCAATTCCTGACTCCAGTCTAAATCATTGTCCTTTATAAAACCCAAACCAAAAAATCGTTGTTCTTTATGGACCACTTAAATTCAACTTTAAGGTAATTTCTCATTTTAAGGAGGAGACCATAACAACATGGGTTGAGAATAGAACAGTGAAGAATCAGGACTATCTAGCGTTAATCCCAATACTTTATTTATTTTTTATCCCCTCCATAAAAGAGAGAAAAAGGACAGAATTAAGAAGAAATCTACAGTGCTACACACTAAGTACATATCTCTTGGTTGATCAATGGCCTGTCTTGTCAAAGAGGTTCAGACTAGGATCATTCATATCAGTGCTACAGTAGTAAGTCTGTAACTCTGCAGCCAAATAAACCTTTTCTAGCATGAGAAAAGCAGTGATAGGAATGGGGTATATGTCAAAATTATGAAAGGCTCCAACTTAGACTACAAGCACAGCAAAAAACCCAGTTACTATATAATTGCCCTTAGCTGATAGAGGACTGTAGTTGCCAAGTCACAGATCTCTAGTTCTCTGAGCACAGGACAGTGGAACTAGAGAAGAAAGTCTTCAATGAGAACCAAACCAAACAAAACTCAATAAACAAGGTCAACATCGGCTTACTTGTGCTTACTTAGTAATCTATAGTGAACAATTTTACATTTTTCCACCATATCAAAGATTCTGTTTCTAGTTAAGGCTGGCATCTATCTCTCTCCCAACCCCACAGCACCTTTCTACAGAATCACAGCCTCTTTTTGAATTTACAGTCCCTGACAGGGACAGAGTACCCAGTAAGCAAAGTAAGCATGAGGTGAAACTTTTCACTACAGATTAGTAAATAAGCACAAGTAAGCCAGTGCTTCCCTTATTGGGTAATCAGCCTCTGCCAAACCCATTGCCATCAACTTGATTCTGACTCATAGTGACTCTTTAAGGACAGAGTAGAGCTGCCTTATAGGGTTTCCAAGGTTATAAATCCTTTTGGAAGCAGATTGCCACGTATTCTTCCTGTGGAACAGCTTTTGGGTTCAAACTGTGGACTTTTTGGTTAGCAGCCAATTGCTTTAATCACTGCACCACCAGGGCTTCTGTTCTGGTTCTCATGCTACTTTAACAGAAAATACCACAGGTGAATGGCTTTAACAAACAGGGATTTATTTTCTTACAGTTTAGGAGGCTAGAAGTCTGAGTTCAAAGTGCCAGCTCTAGGGGCTGGGTGAAAGCCTCTTGACCTTGGGGTTCAGTTCTGCCTCTTGCTTCCGGCCCACTGAAGATGGAGGCATATCTTAGCTCAGGTAGCTGTTGGCTGCTGAGGCTGACAAACCCAAGGATGACAAGTTAAATGGCACAGTTCAAAGATTATCAAGCAATATGGCAGGCCACTAAATCAAGTCTATTAACAGTCCCAGTTTGATTGTGTGGATCATGACAAATTATGGATAACATTGAGAACAATGGGAATTCCTGAGCACTTGATTGTACTCATGAGGAATCTGTACCTTGACCAGGAGACTGTCTTTCGAACAGAACAAGGGGACACTACATGGTTTAAAATCAAGAAGGGGGTGCATCAGGGTTGTATTCTTTCTCCACACTTATTTAATCTATATGCTGAGCAAATAATCCAAGAAGTTGAACTATATGAAGAAAAACGTGGCATCAGGATTGTAGGAAGAATCATTAACAACCTGAAATATGCAGATGATACAACTCGCTTGCTGAAAGTGAGGATGACTTAAGGTACCTACTGATGAAGGTTGAAGAATACAGTCTGCAGTATGGATTACGTCTCAATAGAAAGAAAACAAAATTCCTCACAACTGGACCAATGAGCAGCATCACAATAAATGGAATGAAGATGGAGGTTGTCAAAGAATTCACGTTGCTTGGTTCTACAATTGATGCCAACGGAAGCAGCAGTCAGGACATTAGACGACATGTAGCATTGGGAAAGTCAACTGTGAAGGAACTGTATCAAGTGCTGAGGAGCAAGGATATCTCCTTGAGGACTAAGGTGTGCCTGACACAAGCCATGATATTTCCAATCGCCTCGTATGCATGTGAGAGCTGGACAATGAATAAGGAAGACCGAAGAAGAGTTGATGCTTTTGAGTTGTGGTGCTGGCGGAGAATGCTGAAAGTACCATGGACTGCTAAAAGAACTAACAGATGTCCTGGAGGAAGTGCAGCCAGAATGCTCCTTGGAAGCGAGAATGGCCAGACTTCGTCTCACCTATTTTGGTCATGTTGTAAGAAGGGACCATTCCCTGGAGGATGTCATGCTTGGTAGGGTGGAGGGTCAACGAAAGAGGGGGAGGCCTTCAACGAGATGGATTGACACAGTGGCTGCAATGATGGGCTCAAGTATAGCAGGGATTGTGGGGCTGGTGAGGGATCGGGCAGTGTTTCGTTCTGCTGTGCATGGGGTCGCTATGAGTCGGAAACGACTTGACAGCACTTAACAACAACAACAACAACAACAGTCCCAAGATCTGCAGACAACATGGTAGGGCATTGAGATGAAGACTTAGCTACATGCAGGGTCTAAGCATGCCAAAAGGCTCTGAGACCTTTCTTAAAGCTATCTTATACACAGGAAGCAGACCACATCCCTAAGGCAGCTACTCAGCTGCTCCAGCAGATTCTACCATGGAGTTTATTACCAGTCTCATCATGGGGAATAACTACATCCGCTTCTCAGCCACTCAAAACCAGGCTGAGCCAAGCTGACATACAACTTAAAGACCATAGCCTCTTAAAGAGAGAAGTAAAGGAGAAAAATCTTGAGCAGGCAGGAGGTAGAGAAAAGGATCTATTTTATCTATCCTAGAATTATGCTAGGAGCTCTTGTAGCACAGTGCCTGAGGCACTTGACTGCTAACCAGCAGGCTGGCAGTTGAAATCCACCAGCCACTCCTCGGAAGGTTGGACAATCTACTTCTGTAGTGATACTGCCTCCGAAACCCAAGGAGGGGTCACTATGAGTCGGGGCTGACTCGACAGCACATAGCAACAACAACAACAGAATTATGCTAGTAGGAAGGAAGTGCATTTGGAATAGTAAAAATTGGAGGACTTTGGAAATGTCACCAAGGCCTGAAGTGCTGGCTATAGAATTTGCCTCCACATGTCACTAGGTAATTGAAGTAGATAGTTGCCCACCAGAGAATTCCTATAGTCTCCTAATATTCTTAAGGCGCTCTGGTGGCACAGCGTCTAAGGCATTCTACTGGAGGAAGGGGAAGCTGTTGTTCATTGTGGAAATCAAACCCTGTACTATACAATATATAAGGAGGCCCTCTTTAAATGTTGTTGTTGTTGTTATGTGCCATCGAGTCGGACCCGACTCATAGCGACCCCTCCTTGGGTTGCCGAGGCATTATCACTACGGAAGTAGATTGCCCAACCTTCCTTCTGAGGAGTGGCTGGTAGGTTTGAACCGCCAGCCTTCTGGTTAACAGTCAAGTGCCTTAGGCACTACACTACCAGAGCTCCCCTTCAACTATTAGGAGCAATCAATTTAGTTCTTCTTTTATAAAAATGAACAGGGAAAAGAAAATAACTAGAAATGGTGAGATTGAACAACCTGAAGTAAGGAAACCAAACTGAGCAATTGTAGCAAATAGCCTCCAGTTAAGCAGATTCAGTGCAGGCGATGAGAGAGATCTTTAAAATACTATATCTCAAATGTAATGACCTTGACATTTGTCATACACAAAAATTAATGCAAGATGGATAGACTTAAATATGAAAACTAAAATTAAAAAAACTTCAAGAAAATGGAGGAGAATGTCTTCATGGCCCTAGTATAGGCAAAGATTTGTTAGACATGAGACAAACAGGACTAATTATAAAAAGAAATATTGTCAAATTGGAGTTTATAAGAAGTGAAAATGTATGTTCATTAAAAGATACTATTAAAAAAGTGAAAAGGCAAGCCACAGACTGGGAGAAAATATTTGCAGGACATCTATCTGACAAAAGACTTGTATCTAGAATATATAAAGACTTCTAACATATAATAAAAAGATTAACAGCCCAATTTTTTTTAAGTGAGCAAAACATTTGGACAGACATTTAGAGAGCATGTGAAAAGGTGCTCAATACAATTAATTATCAGGGAAATGGAAAATAAAACCACAATTAGCAATCACTAAAATGAAAAAGACTGTCATTCTCAAGGGTTAGTGAGGATGTGGAGAACTGGAACTCTCATACTTTGCTGGTGGGAGTATAGCATGGTGGAACTTCTTTAGAAAACCAGTTAGTAGTTTCTTATGAAATTAAGTATATAGCGACCTTGTGATCCAGCAGTTTCTCTCTAGATATACACCCAATAAAAATAAAAAATATATGTCTTCTAAAAAGATTTATACAGGAATATTCGTAGTAACCCTAATTGTAATTATCAAACACTGGAAATCCAAATAGAAGACAGTTAAACAAATTGTGGTATACTCATGCAGTGGAATATATAGTGTAATAAAAAAGAAGAACTATTGATATGTGCAACACCATGTATGAATCTCAAAAACATGTTGAGGAGAAGAAGCCAGTCTCAAAAAAGTAATGTTGGGGAAAAAAAAAAAGCTTGAATAATTTCTTTTAGAAAGATCAGCACAAGGCCAGTTCCTATGAGGCAGAGGTTAAAGATGTTCCAAATGTCCAACTTTTCCAAACAGCTATGCCACTCCATCATCCCTGATGTCAACTCCTCTTCACCTCCGTTATCTCCCTCCCATCTTAGGGTTCCATATTTCACTGTAATGTCTTACAGAACGCACAAGATCCCTAGGAGATGGCTCATGTGGTGGTGGAGGCTGGGAGTCTGGCAGGCTGGCTAGTCCCAGGTTTGAGGGTAGGTCTGGAGGATTCTCCCCACTCATGTGGTTGCAGGGGTTGGTGAACCCAGATTGGCAGGTCAGATGGCAGCTGCTGTCTCAAGTCCAGGGGTGAGATAATGACAAACCAAAGGCAGAACCAAATCAAGACAGTGAACTTTCCCAGAACATTCCTATATATACTCTCAAGGAAGCAAGGCGGAACTCAAGATACATCCCACTCTAAACAGATATAGAGAAAGGGTTTATAATACTTCACAAAATGGGTGTGACTCGAGTCATACCCTCCAGCAAGGTGAGACTCAAGATGCATCCCACCCTAAACAGGCATGTTGTTGTTGTTGTTGTTGTGATGTGCCCTGAGTCTGACGGACTCATAGCAACTCCTCCTTGGGTTTCCGAGGCGATATCACTATGGAAGTAGATTGCCCAACCTTCCTTCAGACAGGCATAGAAACTAGGATTTACAATACATCACAAAATGGAGGATGATGGCTAGACGGGCCATATTAAGCAATTCACTGACTGCACTGCAAAAAACAAAAAACTGTAAATAAACCAGAACACGAGGTAGGAGGATTTCACTATCTTCTTAAGCAAGATACAAAACTCAGAAGCCATGAAGGAAAAAACTGACAGATTTGACTATGTAAACAAAATTAAAATTTCTAAAAAAAAACCCCACTATAAATAATATTTAATGGCTACTTAGGCTTCCTCTTTATTGGAAGAATTGATTTTGTTCAAAACTATGTGTGTCTAGGTTAAGTAAATTTGTTGTTGTTATTTGCTGTTGAGTCAGACCTGACTCATAGCGACCCCTCCTTGGGTTTCCGAGGCGGTATCACTGGTATCACTACGGCAGCAGTAGATTGCCCAACCTTCCTTCCGAGAAGTGGGTGGTGGGTTAGCAGCCTTCTGGTTAGCAGTCAAATGCCTTAGGCACTCAACTCATGCTGTTTTAATTTCTGTAGCTTTTGATTAAATTGGTATCTGGTCTGGCAAGTCTCTTCCCTGTGTTTTTCTTCAAAATTGCATTGATTATTTTTGGTTAGTCTTCCCAAATTAATTCTAAGATGAGCTTATCAAGTGTGATGAAAAACTCGAGATTTTGATTGGAATTTTATTGGATTTATAAGTTAATTTAGGGAAAATTGCCAACTTTTTAAAATCCAATTTTCTATCCATGAATATATTATATAAGGTCATCTATTTAGATCTTCTGTGTGATTAAGTTATGTTTTATTTTCAACATATGTCTTATATATCTTTTGTTAGATTAATTTTTATGTACCTTATTATTTGCTCTTGCAAGTGGTATCTTTTTAGAAATTACATTTTCAAATTACAAGGTTTATAAGGAGGTCTGGTGATGTAGTGCCTAAGGCATTTGATTGCTAGTCAGAAGGCTTGCGGTTCAAACCTACCAGCCAGTCCTGGGAAGGAAGATTGGTCAATCTACTTCCATAGTGATATTGCCTCGGAAACCCAAGGAGGAGTGGCTGTGAGTAGGATCCAGTTCCACGGCAGTGAGTTTGGTTTTTGGTTTTTTGACATGGTTTATCAAGAACTGCTACTGATGATTATGTATAGATCCAGCAACTTTACTACATTTGTTTACTTTTATTAATTGTTAATTTGTCTTTAGACAAATAATCTTGGATTTTTTAAATGTAGACAATCAAATCATCTATGATTATGCTATTTTTGTTTTTTATTTTCCAGTGCTTAAATCTTTTATTTACTCTCCTTGTCTTATTCTGAGGAGCTCTGATGTTATAGTGGGTAAGGCATTTGGCTGCTAACCACCAGCTGCTCCATGGAGGAAGATAAGGCAATCTTCTTATGTAAAGATTTACAGCCTTGGCAACTCAATAGGGGTCGCTATAAGTTGGAATTGTTTCGATGGCAGTGGGTTTTTTTTTTTTTGTTCCGGTTCTGGGACACTCCATTACCATTTTGACTGGGAGAGGTAATAGTAGATAACTTGTCATGCGGTCATTTTAAGATGATATTTTCTAAGATTTCCTCTTTAAGTATTATGTTTGCTATTGATTTTTGGTAGATACTTCTATCATGTTTAAAAAGTTTCCTTCTGTTCCTAATTTGTTAAGAAGTTTTTTTTTCCTACCCAAACGTTATTCAGTGTTGCATATTATTTATACTTTTAGCTTCCTTTGAAAAGATGCAAATAATGAGATTTTTGACAGAGGAATGTAGTGTTTCTATATTCTATAAATATTTTTGATTGCAGGTACTTATTGAGAGTGAACAGATGAGAAAAGAAGCTGATGACTCAGGTCCACTTACTGAACTGGAGCACTGGAAACGCATGTCAGCCAAATTCAATTATATTATTGAACAGATTAAAGGGTCAAGTTGTAAAGCTGTCATAAATGTGCTAAATGTTGCACACTCAAAATTGTTAAAGGTAAAAGGCCTTTCATTTTAAACTTTTCTATACTTCAGAACAACCAACTCAAACACAGTTTAAAACTACCCTTATTGAAATGCTTCTTAGCACAATATGCCACAGTCATATATTCAGAGGAGTTAAACTTTGTATAAGGCTTTCTCTTATACCACAGTTTTTTCCAAAAGAGGAAAAGGAAATATAGAAATGAAGATTTATTTCTCGATATTTCACATACCAGTTTTGATGATTATACAATGAAATGATTACCAGAAAAGTGATCACCCCTTATCTTTAAATTGTTTTTGAAATTATAATTCATTATAATTTATTTACCTCATTAAGGTAAAGCACGACATACAGAGTCAAAAGAAAAACTCTCCTTTCATCATACATTTCACCTCCACCGTTCCACCTGTATTCATCTCTGACCAATATCAGAAGAGCACTTGATTTTATCATCCCTTGTGTGAAAGAAGGGTCAGTTTACAGGAAAATAAAATTGATGAAGAATAAATAAAAATCCTGCTACCAAGAAATAAATTAAATAACTAAAATTGGATAAAGACATAGCAGTTTTAGTTGAATTGATCTGAATTAATTGATCTTAGGCTGCCTTATGAGAAGTATACCAGTACCATTTGCCACTGAGTCGATTCTGACTCATGGTGACCGATGTGTATGGAAGTGTAGTTGACACTTCGGTGACCCTTCAGTTTTTCTCAGCACAGTTACATCACACCTAGTGATGCTAGTAGAAACAAGTGGGCATCCAAAGTACAGGGGCCAAGATGTTGAAGCTAACAAGTCCATGACATATTGAATGAATTAAATGACTAACTAAAGGCCCAAGAATTGTTTATCTTTGAATAAAAGACTTAATGGCTGATGTGGAATTGTCTTCAAATATTTGAAGGGCTACTATGTGTTTTCAGGGAGCTCTGGTGGCGTAGTGCCTAACGCATATGACTGCTAACCAGAAGGTTGGCGGTTCAAACCCACCAGTCACTCCTCGGAAGGAGGATGGGGCAATATACTTCTGTAGTGATACTGCCTCGGAAACTCAAGGAGGGGTTGCTATGAGTCGGGTCTGATTCCACTGCAGGGCATTGCGTTTTTTCCGTTATGTGTTCTCAAGAGGTTCCGTTAGGCAAAAATAGACCAAGTGAATAGAGCTATGGGCAGACAGATTTCTTCATAAAAAGAGGAAGAACTTACTCATCATTAGAGTTTTCTAAGTATTTGATGGCTACTTGCCAAGAAACAAAGAGCTCTGGTAGCATAGTGGTTAAGTGCTCACTGCTAAACAAAAGATTGGCAGTTCTACCTCATCAGCCACTCTACAGGAGAAAGATGTGGCAGTCTGCTTTTGTAAAGATTTATAACCTTGGAAACCTGATGAGTCAGTTCTATTCTGACCTGTAGGGTTGCTTCGAGTAGAAATCAAGGAAGCGACTTGATGGCAAGAGATTTTTTTCTTTTTTTTTACAAAAAAAAGTGTTGATTTTAGATTGAGTTCACTTTAGTGAAAGAAATGTTTTCCTGGAGTAATGTTCTGTTTTAATAACTCTAATTCTTAAAGATACAGAGTAAATGCCATAAATAGTTAAGCTGGAGAAGTTACCAAAGGTAGAAGCAGGTCCAGTTCAAGCCTAGAAAACAGGGTAAGATAGGTTGAATTTCATAAATAAACTCAGCACATTGATGTATTTGGATGCTTAGTAGAATTCTTGTACATTTTTTCTTAGAATTGGCGTGATTTGGATGCAAGAATCACTGATACAGCAAATGAATCAAAAGATAATGTCAGGTATTTGTACACATTGGAAAAAGTATGTCAGCCTCTCTATAACTATGACCTAGTAAGTATGCTTTTTAAAATTGTAGTATTTGAAATTAAATTGCATAATTAATGCATTTAAAAATAACCTGGATAGTGAGAAAAATTTACACTGCAAAAAAGTTATTGAGAAGATATATTATCCTATTATATATATAATGAAATATACATGATATTTAATATTTTAAAGTGCATTTGGAATATAACATTATCATAAGTATGACCTATTTTCTGAATTAGGCAAAGCAAATTAGTTATCTCTTACTGTATAACAAAATTACCCCAGAATTGAGTTGCTTAGAACAATATGCATTTATTAAGTAATAGTTTCTGTGGGGTAGGAATCCAGGTGCAGCTTAGTGGAGTCCCTCTGCTTTAAGGTCTCCTATGAGGTTGTCAGGAGCTCTGGTAGCAAAGTGCCTAAGGCACTTGACTGCTAACCATAAGGCTGGCGGTTCAAACCCACTAGCCACTCCTCGGAAGGAAGATGGAGCAATCTACTTCCGTAGTGATACTGCCTCGGAAACCCTATGAGTTGGGTCCGACTCGATGGCACACAACAACAACAACAACAACATAAGGTTTTCATTTCCTACCACATGGACCTCTTCACAGGCAGCTCCCTTCCCCTAGGGGGAGTGCTCCAACAGAAAATGAAAGAGAGTGCCCAAATTAGAAGCCATAGTCTTTTTATAAACTCATCTTGGAAGTGACATTCCATCACTACCCTTGTATTCTATTCATTGAAAGCAAGTCAGTAAGTTCAGCCTACGCTCAGGATGAAGGGATTATATAAGGATATGAATACCACAAGAGTGAGGATCATTGGGGGCCACTAAGAGGCCACTTACCATGTTAGATATTTCCTATTGCACAGATTAGGAAACTCAAACTCATCATTGCATGGTGACTTTACCAGTGTCACTCAACTAACATGTGACTCAGGATGAAACCCATCTTTGAATCCAGCCTGCTGCTTTTTATTTTTTTCATAATTCTGTAGCGTTCCTTTAAAGAATAGGTAACTACTACCATTTACTTTTATTTCTCTAAAGACTATATTAATTTCTAACTCAGAAATTCTCTGGAATGTCATGGTACCTCACACGAAATATGGAAGTTAAAGTCGTCTATCTTTTGTTTAGATAGAGAGGGGAGATCAAGGAAACTAGCATTTGTGAGACCCTAGTGCAATGTTTTCCAATCATGGCTTATGTTGCTTCTTTTATAAGTCACTTTTAGGTAGGAGGGCAGCCCAAACAGCTGTCTGTGCACAGGCTTGAGAACCCTTGACCTTTTGTTCTAGGCATTGTGCTATATGTTTTACAAAGGTTTTATGCACAGTGATCCTCATTTTAAAGTTGAGGAAACTGAGCCTGAGCATTTCCACATCTGTAAGTGATGGGACTACATTTGAATATGGTTCTCTCTGACATTTTGGGTTGTATTTGTTCCCACTTTTCTATGTGGTTTGTTCAAGGTATTCTCTAAGTTAAAATGCTTTCAAAACAAGTTATATTTGTGGCTGATGCTCATGTTCAGTATTCTCTGTTCTAATTTTTGGAGAGCTAGTCATACTGTTCACATAGATGGGAACACTGGCCATATGGCTGGGTTGACCAGGCCTAGGAGCTCTGGTGACATAGTGCCTAAGGCATTTGACTGCTAACCAGAAGGCTGGCAGTCCAAACCCACCAGCTACTTCTCAGAAGGAAGGTTGGGCAATCTACTTTTATAGTGATATTGCCTCGGAAACCCAAAGTGGGGTCGCTGTGAATTGGATCCGACTTGGTGGCAGTGCATGCGTTCTTAACTGCCATGTCCATCATCCATCAGGGGATGCCATGGGAGAGGACGGAAGCCATCAGAGCAGTCTTTTTGTTGACTTCATAAACAGTTGGTGGACTTTAGTTTATCTAAAACTTTATATATA